AGTAGCGTGATAGTAATTAAATGTCACAGCTTTGTAGCCTAAGAGCCTCTGTCTAGTAGTCATTTTGTAATTCATTTTAGTCTCAAAGATATTTCTCATTGATTGTTTTGTGGTTTATTCATGATGTTTTCTTTTTATTCATGTTAAAACCACATCTTTGCCAGCTTTTATTGAGTCTACATAATTAGCCTAAATACAAGCAATATCATCACTGGTTCTCTTGTTCATTTTCTGCCAAGCCTTTCCACAAAAGGACCCAAGCCCTTTTTGCCCCTTCAGCCAAACCACTGAAGCTCAGTTTCAACAAGTTTTGGCATAATGAGGTAGGGAGTTTTTCAAAAAACTCAAAAAAACCTTTTATATTGTATTGAAGTCTGGAAAGTAACAGTATGTGGTTAAATCAATCAATCTGCAAAATTTTGTCCTGTAACAATCTCTTCCAATTTTTGGGCTGTGATGAAAGGTGGTATTGTTGAGGATGAGCCAACTTCAGAGGCCTAGAGATGGATTCATAGCTGGAAGCTAGAATCAAAGGCTAGTTAGGGAGCTTGCAGTAAAGTAGACAGATAGTTGATATAAAACATTTATTTTATCACTGATATAAGAATTTTATCTTACAAAAAGAAAAAGAAAAACTCAAATCAAATCATGTTCTCCTGATGAACAGTAACTGTTACAAGCCCAACCCACGAAAAGGGAAGATATTGAAACTTTGCTTGGCCTTGTCCCTAATCACATGTGGTGTGAGCTCACCCACTGGGAACCACCCTTGAGTACAGGACATGCTGCCAAGGCATATCCTGCATTCATCTAGATATATATTAATTGTGAGCAATCAGAAAGGACAGTATGAGATAAGATTTCCACTTAGCCCAGTTTATACCACAATTTATGGAGAAAGGTGCACCACCTGAAGAGAGAAATATAAGAGGCATATTGATCTGGATCTTGGCCAGGATTAAGTTTACATTCAATTTTTCTTTGGCTGTGTTTGAGTCAAAGATGTAGCTTGTTTGCGATTGTTGAGAGAGAGAGTGTGTGTGTGTCTGTGATGTGTATGTGTTGCTCTTCAGCTAGAAACTCTTGACTCTCAGCCACATAGATTGTGGGCTTGTTTTGAATGAGGTTGTAGATCATTGACTTCTACTACTAGTGGGGGATGATGATGTGTCACACATAACCAACCTTGTGTCTTTGTAAATACAGGACTAAACATGCAAGGAGTCCTGCCTCACAGTTAGGCTGGTCATTTTTCTCTTATCAAGGGATTTTTTCATTAAGGGAAGCTCTTACAAAGGCTCACATTTTTAATATACAATAATACAATTTAGGAGAGGATCAAAAAGGTCAGTCAAGCTTGCTGCAGGGTACCAGACCATTGGGGTGGTGAGGCAATTGCAGGAGGTGATAATGGCAGCTAGGGGAGATTGGACTGACTGGAATGAAGCAGGGAGTATAAGCAGTGAAGGGTTTGGGGGTGATTGGGGGTATTAGCACACTAACAAAAGTTAAAATTTCCAAGATATAATTCTTCTGATGTTTGAAACTCTCCCCCCTTTTCTTTTGGTAAACAGAAAGCTTTCATGATTGTTCTGTTTTTGCTTTCTTGGAGACAGAGTTAATGGAGAGGACAAAGTTAAGCCTATCTTGATGCCTTTTCTGAAACAGTTGGTCATCAGATATGTAGCCACATCAACATAAGCACCATTTCTTCTTTTTATTCTTCTTTCCAAATTTCCAACAAAAATTTGGGGCACTCAAGTATATTTTCACACATAACATTTGAGAAAAAAATCCTGCTTTGATATGTACTTGCTAGATAAGGCTGCTTGATAGGGATTATTTGGGTTTCTGACACAGTAAAACAAAAGGCACACACACACACATTCCCTCCTCTTTGTTGAAAATTCACTCATTGACCCCTGTTCCTTCCCTTCTCTTGTCTCACATGTCATTATTTTTCTTGCTCCACCCGGCCAAATCCTCATGTTAGTTTTTATTCAAAATGCACTGTACTGAGGGCCCAAAACTCAGCCTCTTGTAGTTAGCTACTTAATTAACCTCCTGCTTCCAATTAAAAAATTCATCAGTCCTTACCTCATTGATCCTCTTGCTGGCACTTAAGCCCCATCAAGAGAACTCCCTGCAGCGGCACATAACCCACGCTGATCGAGTTGGCCGGTACTTTTTCAGACTCTTGTCTGCTTTTATATTTTTATCTAAAATAAAATCCCGGCCATCCCGCCAAAAGTTCAACGCTCTTCGCCAGTGACCTAAGAGAACTGGAAAATTTCTCAGCACAGCCATTGGGGAGGGCAGGCAAAAGGTATCGTGAACACAGTGGGATTCGAACCCACGCCCGAAGACTAGCGGGTCCGGCATTCAGCGATGATCAGATAAGGCTGACCACGGCTAATCCTGAAGCTAGCGCCTTAGACCACTCGGCCATATGTCCTCAATGCGATGACCGGGGCGCCTTTCTCAAATTATATTCAGAGAGAAAAAGATGCCAGGGACTGTTGGGAGAAAGACTGGTTCTTCCGGCCCCGAAAGCAGGAGTTGGCGTGCCGAGCTAGTTGGCCAGATGAGTGTGATGCCCGACCGGCGCCCTGCCCTTCGCGGGCCGTAGCATGGGCCACTAACGGGTCGGACTTGCCACGCCGAAAGACGGCCGGCTTCGGCGCTCGTGTCGGAAGGATCCCGGCCGTGCTCGAAACGCTCTTTGGCCGCGAACGGCTGTCTCTCCGTATCCTGCCGTCGTGCTTCTCCTCCATCCCCCAAATATCGTTCCCCTTCTCTCTCTCTCGCACTCGTGCGTCTCTCCTCACTCCCACTCTCTCACTCAAAGGCAGATCGCTCTGCTTGCACGCTTTCTTCATCACTCGCTCCCGCCTCACCTGTGGCTACACACGTCAGCCTGAACGTCTTCCGTCCCTCGCGCTTCTGCTCAATGGAAGGCCTCCTCCTCACAACTTGACTTGTGCAGGAAAACGAGGAGGAACCTTGCGGATGTGTGTGTGTGTGTGGGGGGGGGGGGGTTG